AGGGTGAATGGACCACAGTGAGGGTTCTAGTTCTGTGAAGGGATTTGAAGGGTATAATGGGCATGGACTAGCAAATAGGATGGGGGATGGAGGTAGGAATGGTCTGAACAAAGGCACAGAGGTGGAAGGAAAACTTAGGAGTGCAGGAGAGATACCTCTAGAGGAAAATGAAGCATTAGCACAGTCACAAAGGTCACATAGGTCAATCTGGTGAGTGGTTCTTTAATATAATGCAAGGTTTACACAAGGCTTTAATGGCTTACAAAGTACTTTACATAGGTCTCAGTGAGACAATGTAAATATCACTATTCCCATTTTATAGATGAGGAAGCTTGAGGCCCAAAGAGTTTAAGTGAACTAAGATCCCAGAGCTAATAAATGACAAAATGGGGTTTTCAAGCTCAGGCCTTCTGACTCCATCCAAACCCACTGATTATCTTTACTCCAATGCGGCCCCCCTTTAGAAGGCACATTGTGATGCAGAACCTTTCTCAAGGCAATCTCTTTCTCCAACTGGATAGGATCATTCTGATATCTGTTCTTGATCTGGTAGTTATCTAGTATGGCACATACAGTAGACATACCTACCTGCAAATGGGCAGATTGGTTCTAGCCAAAACTGGGGTACCTTTTTGAGGTATTCAAAATCAAATGAAATATCAAAACACTAAGAAAGGTGATCATTACAGTTTTTATTTATATATACATAAACAAATATGTACACATATGTATATATCTGCATAATGCATATGTATGTATATATGCAAATTGTAATAATCTACTTTCTTAATGTCTTGACGTTTCATTTGATTTTGAACAGCTCAAAATGGTTCTCCAGGTTTGGCAAGGACCATGTGTATGTATGTATATGTATATATGTGTGTATATATATATATATGTACATAAATGCATATATAGCTATAAACAAAAATGTCCACTTACATCTGACTTGCCATAAACAGCAGACACTAACAATGCACCCACCAGAAAGTACTTAAGGAAAATCTAGCTTCAAGACCTTTGAGTTGATGATTTAGAAAGGCGCAACCCATTCCCATTTCGAGTAGAGAATTTATTCTGCTTATCTCAAGCCAGAGCTAAAGGTCCTAATAATTCCAGAAAGCTCTAAATGGTTCTGTCCATTTGAGTAGGACTCATTTGGCCATCTGCAAATTTGCAAACGTGCATATTTCTGCATGTGGGTTGTAACATATATTGTGGGTTGTAACAAATGTAATGGGCCCCATTCTCCCCAGTACCCAGCTCTCTTCTCTGGGAATGTTAGATGCTTAGGAAATCAGATTCACTCTTCTAGGCAATTAGGAGGCTAGTAATTAAACAATAGGGGAAAAGAACTGCTCAGTTTTACAAACATTTCAGGTGGCACCCATTTCATGAAGCCTCCTGATTAGCTGTTGGTACTTCCTCCCAACTCAATTTTCCTTGTATAGGTTGTATTCTCCTCAGTAGAATTTAAGCTTCCTGATTAAAGGAACTGTTTTTGTTTTTGTAATCCCTGGGCCTAAAAAGAGTAGGCATTTGATAAAAATTTATGGAATTAAATTCAGCCATTTATTGTGATTCCTCTTTATTGACTCAACCCATCTTTTTTTTTTTTTGGTTTTGTTTTTTGTCTAGGCAATGGGGTTAAGTGACTTGCCCAGGGTCACACAGCTAGTAAGTGTTATGTGTCTGAGGCTGGATTTGAACTCAGGTCGTCCTGAAACCAGGGCTGGTGCTCTATCCACTGTGCCATCTAGCTGCCCCTGACTCGACCCATTTTTTGCTTCTTAAGACTGTTCCATTTGCATTTCAGATGTAAATCTAGTTGTGCCAGGTTTAGCTGGCATAGCTTCTTATAGCCCTTCCTACTTTACAGTGTTTTGGGAGCCTTCTATTTGAGCATCTTTTACCTTGGCCCTTCTTCCCACTGAATATTTCCCAACAGCTCTCTGAGCTTGTTGAATTGGGTTTTGTTGAAATCAGCTTTCTTCTTTCCTGGGATTCTTATTTCTTTTTTTTTTTTTTTGGAATTTCTATCACCTTTCAGTCATTTTAACTAAAGTATACACCTACTTTCTTTCCACGAATTTCTCACTGTTTTCAAGACTCAAACCCAGAAGCAGTCATATAGCTTGGGACCTCATGCCTAGCCCTGATCACTTTATAAGGAATTTTCTTCTAGGTCTCTTTCCTTAATGGGAGATACCAGAGATGGAATTATCATCAGAATCTGCTCCAAAAAATGTCATGGTCAATTATCCACCAGAGCAAATGATACTGGAGGTGAGAAATAGTCTTGGGTAGACAGTGTAGAAAATGGGTAAGCACAGAGTTTCATTTGGCAGTTTTTTGACCTACATTCTTCATATTTTATAAATGTAGGTTTGTTTTCATTTTTCAGTTATGCACATGTGGCTAGGAACGCGGTTTTTTCCCCCTTGTATTTGTTTGTCATTGCATTGGTCAGCTGGGTTGACATTTCCAAAAGTGTTATGGCAATTATTCACGTTCAATTCTTCTTGTTTATGTGATGGCAGTGTTTAGAGTCAGGCCCACCAGACAGCCATATGTACTTTCTGTCTCTTAGAAGAGCCCTGCAGAGGCACTTTACTTTGGCTTCTCCTCCCAGGCTCAAGGACTAAAACAGACATTGTATAGATATATCAGTTCTTCCTCTTCTTTCTGTATAATCCATTTGCATTTCAAGTTTACACACAACTCTAGTTTAAATAACTTGGTTTCTTATAACTCTGTCTGAACAAGGATAATCTTGGTTCCAACAGTCTCTTTTTATTTCTTAATCCTAAAAGCACATCTTCAAATCTATGGTCCAAAGACAAGACCACCTACTATTTTTTCTATTTACCTTTCTTAAGTGGGCTATATCTTTCGTCTTGATAGACTAATCATGCAAATTATCTCACCATCCTTGTTACTGTACTAATCAAGATAATGGGGACAGGTAAGTGCCACTTCATCACCACTAGTAGACAAATATTTCAAAGTGCATGCCCTAATCATCTTGGGTAACCATTACAATTTCACCTTTATATATATGCAGACTATTATGATTATGTTAGTATTGCAACCAAATGGAAAAATCATCACTAGACCAGAGTTTTGGGACTGGCTGATCCCATCCTCTACCCTGAAAGTTTCTTGGTAGTATAATGAGTCAAACAATCATTCTTTCCTTCTCATCTAATATCAGTCTTAACTTAGGAAGTGACTACTTACAATGCTGTTACACCAGAATCATTTTTTGATGAAAACCTCTAGCTCTCTCTCTGCTTATTGACCATGTTTTTTACATGACAACCTCCCCCCCCAGACCCCCATACTACAGGCCTTCCCCTTCCTCCTTCTAGTCTGAACAGAAGTGTTGTTACAATGGGTTCTGTCCTGTCAATGTTATACCTGGGTTCCTCTACTCTCCAGTTCCAGCTACATGTCTCCAATATTTGAGTCCATAATAGTTCTGGCTTTCCTGCCAGTGCCCTATATTCCATCCCCTCTCGAGCCCCACCTCATTTCACTCCACCAAGTGTGGTGAAGAAAAGCAGCTTGGGGTGCCAGCCAGGAAGATTATCTCTCCCTTACTCTGTTCTCCCCTCTCCAGTCACTCATTTCTGACCGGCTGTCGATCCTATCAGGGGTCCATAAAGCTAGGAGGACTCTGGCCCGGGAGAGGGGGGTAGGGGTTAGGCAAACAGGCCAGGGAGGCAACTGGTTGAAATTTAACCACAATATTCTTGGTCTCTATTGTTTTGAGTGAGGCCCAATATTTCCACAGCAGGATTATAGGATCTGATTAACCATGTTAGACAACAATGCCGAGCTGGGATGGGCTTCCCCTTCCAGCTGCCAATATGAAAAAGTAAACACAACACCCAGATTTCAGTAGGGAGGCCCCGGCAGCCCCTAAGCCCTACTCCCCATTTCTGACCCTATTGCTGTCTTTGGCCCCAAAGTGAGAAGAGGAAGAGTATGAAGGGTGCTCCTCTAGCTGCTGGCCCCTGGCCTCAGAGGACAAGTCATTTGAGTACAGTCTTTCAAGATGAGCCAGCCCATACCTACACGCTCCTTATACTGGAGAGACCGATAGTTCTTGCAGGTTCCCCCAAGCTGGCTAGCTCCAAGGCTCATAGTGGCTGGTAGGGACTTTCAGACCAGCCACAGATCAAAGGAATGCAGAAATATGAAATAGGTGGCTACTATCCCTGACGTGCCTGCTAGATTGCTGGCTTAGGGAGACCCTGATGGCTTGGAGAGAAGGGTGACTTCATGAGGGAGGAATTATCCCTGCCAAAGGCAGGCCTCCAGCTTTTCTTGGAGGCAAGACTCTCTGGGAACCACTGGTCTCTGATTCGGATTCTCTGACAACTTTCTGCTTCATCTCAGGGGTAACATCTCCTAAATCTCCTCACCTATTGTACGTAGGGGCCTCACAACAGCAGTATCCTAGAGTGGCCTTTTCAGAGCTGGGGAGACCCTCCCCCAAAACACAGCAGTCTCATCCTCTTTCTTTTTTTGGATTTTCTTCTTAGTACACCCAAACACCCAGCCCAGTATCTTAGAGACAGTGACCACTTCGTATGTTTGTGGATGAGGATGGTGACAAATGCTGGGATCCCTCACTCCTTGACTCTGAAGCCAGCTGCTGACTGGCCATGGACCCTTGGGTCTTCCTCCCTACTGAAACATCAGCTTTCCCCATCAATAAAATTGAGAGAGAGCCCACTCTTGGGCAGAGCTGACAGGAGAATAGGCTAATTTTATTATTACCAGTTTAAATATAGAATTATCCATCCTAACACTGACCCATTAGATTGAAAACTTGTCTATAAATTAAACTGTGAAGTTCTTCCAAGCAGAATGTGTGTAGTCTCTTTGTATACTGAGAGCCTAGCACAGTGCCCTGAACACAGCAGGCACTGAATAAATGTCTGAACTGACTGAACAGTGGAGTACTAAGCACTGAGACAAGAGTCGATACGGACTGTGTTCTTTAATTTAACAAGCATTTATTCATTGTCTAATACATGCAAGAGATTTTGGTAGTGCTGGTGATGTAAGGGGGCAAAGACGACATATAAACACAGGCTAAGTGCGAGTCCGTGAGGGGACAGCCTAGGCGGTGTGGGTCTGTCTGGCATTAGTGAAGGCTACAGTAGATGGGTTTACTTATTCTCTATGGAATCAACACTTCCAATTTAAAGACAGATGGAAAAACAGAGTCACAGGATAGAAGGCCATGGCTGTGGCTACACAGATGAACCAGTCCTGGGGCCAGACCCAGCACCCAGAAGGGAGAGTCCACAGTCCTCCCACACTGAATTCATAGGCCCGGGGACTCCTTACAACACACCAAGACCAAGGAGGATGTAGGGACTTGGATGAGAGCGAAAAGGACTCCCCACAAGAGAGATGTCCCTGAGAGTTTGACAGCAAGAAGGAGGAGGGTCCGCACAGCTGCTCTGATGCAAAGCTCTGGCTAGGAGCTTGCTGCTCAGGGACTACGGGGTTGTGATGGCGGCCTGGCCTGGCAGACCCTTCAGAACAGGGTGCAGGCCCCATTCCCATGTGGGACTCTGGGGGTAGATCCGGAGGATCTCTAAAGGAGCCCTTCCTAATTCTCCCCTCAGTACTATGCAGCTATGAGCAAGAAAAATGCCCCTGGCTTTAAGAGATATGCTGACTAACTAAGGACAGAGGGGAAAATGAGCACTAGGGGGATGTTATCTAGGCCCTGCCTTGGTCAGTGGTGGGGAAGGCCTCACTGAAGTGTGGGGAAAGAAGGGGATGCCCTTGCTGAAGGAATTCTCCATCTCTGAGCCAGCCTGAGCTGGCCGTGAGGGTAGGGGGAGCAGGGCAGCCAGGCCGAGCTGGCCCTGCAGTATAGGTGGCGCTATTTCCCTACTTTTAACTCGAGCTTGGGCAGTCACTTCCTCGAGGTCTCTAGTCCTGCTCCTGGTTTGCTGGCTTGCTCATGTAAACCACCTTGTATTATTTTTTTTTCTAAAAATACTCCAAAGCAATTGAAAGAGTCCCTTCTCCCACCACCGGCCCCAGCCTCAGCCCCGGCCCCGGGGAAAGGGCGGGTGGGCGGGGAGGTGGGCCGCTGCTTTATTAAACACAGGGAAAACTAATATTTACGGAATAAAATTTATGGAGCAGCCACTAGAATTCGACCCTTTTATGTGCCTGTAGAGCTGGGGTGGAGGCTGGGCCAGGCCAGGGCCCTGGGGGAGGGGCTGATCCAGGGGCAGGGCCTGAGAAAGACAAGTTAGGGATTCCCTGGGGTTTGTCCTGGGTTAGGTGACTCTCTGCCACCACCTTAATCTTGTCCTCCTCAATGAAAAATTCCTGAAACAGAACACCTGGAAAGGAGGGTGGGAGGTGAGGTGGCCCGGGCACAGCATCCCCTCAGAAATGAAGAATCCCCTTGCTGGGGATTCCTTCCCTTTCCCCATGTGGCCCAGTGCCCGATACTCATTGAAACCAAGCTCTGAATCCTGCAGAAAATATGTAGAAAACAAACAGAGCCACTTGATAACAAGTTCTCACATAGCCCCAGATCCACCTTAGTGTTAGCCTGGGAGACTAAAGATGCAGCAGGTTCAGCAGACCCATGGGGGGGGGCAAGGTCTGTGGAAGGAGACACTGTGAAGAAACCAACTCTTCTTTTGGGAAATGCACTCAGTGCGACCTCCTGCAGTGGGCTAAGGCTCTTTACTGCTCAGCAGCAGAGGAAGAATTGGGAATCGCCTAGAAAAGGAACAGATGGAGAAGAACCACCACCCAGCCAGAAAAACCCACCTCCATAAATCCTGCTCAGGCAGCAGCTTTCCTTGGGCTGAGTTCTAAAGACCAGTGTCCTAGGACTCCTTTTCCTACCCTACTGCTATCTTTTTTATTCCCAGGTGAAGCTTTACAGGGCCCTGCCTGCACAGGGAAATGGGGCAAAAATGTAGGGACCCATTGAACCCTAACTGGCGAATCCAGCTATTTCCCCCAGGAGTTGGCTAAGGGATCAAATGCTAAGGCTCGCCTCAGGCTCCTGCTGGGTCCAGGATCCAGTTCCTGCTGTCATCCCAAGCACCCTCTGGCCATTCTGCTGCTCCTTACCATTGCACCTGGTGTAGGTCTTGCAGAAGGTGCTTTACCTGGGGAATTGGGGGGAAGGAGGACACAAGGCCTCTCCTGCAGCTTTGAGTGGCACAGGAGGATCCTGTTAGGGCTCTATACAACCTGACTTGTCCTCTTTGCCTTGAAAACAAAACGGGAAGATGAACATAATAGAGAAGAAGAGGGCAATGACAATCTGTGATGTGTTGTGTCCTCTCTGGGAAAAGTGACTCCAGATGCAAGTTAAGGTTTCTTTTAGGTCACAGAAGAAAAACTACAAGAGAGCCTGAAGGTGTCTGAGCTGAGGGTTCAGGGTGTGAGAGATGGCCTGGGAACTTTATGCACATGCGTGTGAGGAAAAAGGTGGAGAAGAGAGGAGAGAAAACTAGTACTTCGTGAATTATGAATGAATAGATTAAAATCTGGGGAGCTTCAGGGTTGTTTTTGTATTCTACTCAGACCATGGGAGTAACTACAGGCTCCCATAATGAAGTAGAGACTTGCCAGTGAGTCTGATGTAAATACAGAAGTTAATACTATCTTAAGATGGCACAGGAGTTTTGGAAGTTTTTATTTTTGTTGTTGTGTTTCTAGTAAATCTACCACAGATATATACGCACAAAGTCTAGAGGAGGATGCTGTGGGAGAATGGGGTTCAATATTTCCCCAGGTTCAGGCTCTTCCTCAGGTCAGGAAACCTAGCACAATCATGAGTATACTCAGACTGAAGGACAAAGTGTCCACTACACAGCATAACACAAGCCTTACAGCCAGACCCCAATCCAAGACTCCAACCTTGCCTGACTTTGTCCAAAGTCTGAGCTTTCACCCCAGAAGATCCATTCAAGGCAATTCTGATGGAATCTGTACCCCGGACTTCTCCTCAGCAGCTACAGCACCAGGACGTGAGCTCAGTTCAGCTGAAGAGTCCCTTTGGTTTCTTCCTCTTGACTTTGGACAGATGGGGTCTCTGCATTGGAACTGAAGTCTCCTACAGAAGAATGGAAGCCAAATTAGAGGGGAAATATTCTACACCTTCCCTACCCCCAGGTTTCCATCCCAAGAGAGTTACAGGCAGGACCATGATATTTACTTCTCAGGGTCTTCTTACTTTCCCTTTCTCATCTTAAAAGGAGCACCTAACTCTTTTAGACTGAAACTGTTATATGCTGCTTTCTGTAGACAGGCACAGGACAAAAAAAAAAAAAGATAGATGTCCTTCCTTTCCAGGGGGAATGATCTTTATAAGACCCAGTGGCTTATAAAGTGAGAGTGGAATAGAAGGATAAGGGAACCACCGCCTAGGTTATCAGGTCAGAAAAGGCTAAGGGTGGAGGAGAAGTGTGGGTCTCTCTCTCTCTAGACATCTAGTATTCAGTCATGGTCCATATCTCTAAGCATTTAAAAGAGAACAATAACATGGCAGCAACTCTAGTGGGGTAAGAACTCGGCTGATTTTAGGTGCTGATTTCCTGAACCCTTAGGTTCTGTCTCAAAAAAGTTCTAGGTTGCCACTGATTTTTACCATATTCAAAGTCTCAAGCACAGACGGGGATGGGGCAGAGAAGGGCTGCTCTGGCTGGTTCAGTAGTATACCATCAGTTTCACTGGAAGAAGTCCTGTCCGAGGCCTGGGAGTCTCCTGGAATCAGAGAGGTCAAACTGGACAAAAGGTCAAGAAATCTCCCTCCCCAGGCCTATCAACTGAAAAATGGCTGAACAAGTTGTGGTATATGAATGTAATGGAATACTATTGTGCTGTAAGAAATAATGAGCAGGTGGACTTCAGAAAAACCAGCAAAGACTTATATGAACTGATGCTGAGTGAAATGAGCAGAACCAGGAGAACACTGCACACAGTAACAGCCACACTGTGCGATAACTAACTTTGATAGACTTAGCTCTTCTCAGCAATGCAAGGATCTAAGACAACTCCAAAAGACTCACAATGGAAAATGCTATCCACATCCAGAGAAAGAACTATGGAGTCTGAATGCAGATGGAAGCATACTATTTGTTCTCCTTTTCTTTTGTTGTTTTGCTCTGTTTCTTCTTTCTTGTGGTTCATCCCATTGGTTTTAAATCTTCTTTACATCATGACTAATGTGAAAACATGCTTAATATGAAGTAGAGCCTATATCAGATTGCATGCCATCTTGGGAAGGGGGGAAGAAAGGGAGGGGGAGAAAATTTAAAACTCAAAATCTTATGGAAGTGAATGTTGAAAACTAAAAACAAATAAATTATTTAAAAAGATAAATCTAGGCTTCCGTGGGGGGAAAAAAAAAAGAAATATCCCTCCAACCAAGAGGGATAGAGACAGGGTCATTGTCTGGTTCTGAATCCCCAACCACCCTCACAGTAATTGCCAAGAGACACATCCACAGTGCTAGCTGTTGGAAGGTTTCAGTCATGATGGACAGGAGGTCCTTGCACACATCAAGGTAGGCTAACTAATACTCTGTGGGGCAGAACTCAGTGGCAATTGGGCAGCCACAAATTGCAGCTCTCTCCAAGCTTGGAAAAGTCCTATGACCCAAGTCTCACAATGAGTATCCAGACTTCTCAAGGACCCTGGAGAAATTCAGTGTCCATTTATGACAAATGAAGATGCCTGATAGGCAGATAAGAGAAAGAAAAGGAATAAAGCCTTCTTGCTACCTCACAGCCCAGGGCTCAGGCAACCCCTGGCACATCCCAGGAAGACTGGATTAGCTTTATCTGGTGCACCCTCCCACCCTAGACACCTAGAATAGGAGCAGAACCCCACTGAACTGCTCACCGGAACCTTGTCGTTTTCGTTCTGCCTGGAATCCTTGTTTAGTTATTGTCACGTAGAGATTCTGCAGCTTCGTAGCAAAGGATCTTCCATTCTCAATACTGCATGCCTCTGGCAGATTCTATAGGAAAAATGAAACCCTTGTCATTGACATGCACAGAAAAAAGAAACTTAGAAACCCTCTTTTCCATCTGTGGGGCTGGCATCAACTTCAAAAGAGACATCCCTATCCCTACCGAAGGAAGGTAAGACGCTGGTCTGGTGTGGGACCTGGAGCTCCAAATCCATTAGGACCCAACTGTATAGCAGAATCCTACTTAGAACTTTTCCTTTAGCAGGTGTCTCTGAGTCTCCACCTTCCTATTCCCCAATTCTTAATTCCATCTCATCATCTCATTTACATCCTGTGGGCCTCTAGCCTGGGGGAGTTTGATTATCCCTGATAGATCTGTCTTAGGAGATCTGCCACTAAACAGAGGATCATTTTAATCAAGCTCACGGTCAATCTCTATGATCTAGAGAAAAGGTGAAAGCTAACGGATTTGAGCCCATGGCAAACAAGGGGCCAACTTTGGAAGAGCAGAGAAAGAGGCAGTATAGACTGTGGGAGCCTGGGCATGGTGAGGATGGCGTGGGAGAAACGGATCAAGGATGAAGGAAATGGGAAATACAAAACGAGGTTTTTGAGGCACTGAAGACAATGGGGTCAGAAGAGTTCTGTGACACAAAGAGAAGCAGCCTCTGGCCTCAGAGGCAAAAGAGCCAGATTTAAGTCCCAGGTCCACAGCTTACTAGACATGTAAATAGAGTAAGCTATACATTCTCTGAATCTCTCAAACTCTACGTCACCAAGGTCACAGCTTAGCTGTGAAGAAAGCACTTCAACGGGAACCTGTAGGGTGCTATCCAAGTGTCAGCTAATCGTCATCACCTTCATCATCACCATCATCTAGCAGAATGGCAGCAGAGATAGAGGTCATGATAAAGCACATACAAAGTCCTCTCTTCTTCCTAGGCTAAGTCAGCATCCCTAATAGTTCTCTTGCTAATGCCTGGGTATCTCCTCAATACAACCCCACCTACCAATACTACAAGTAGCTTCAAATCCCTGGCCGGGCCCTAAGCTGTTCCCTCTGCAGCTGTGCACACACACTGTGGCTTCCAGCCAAACTGCCAAGGGGGGCAGCCTCACTACCACTCCACATGGGACTCAGTACAGAGACCTGGCCTGGCCCACCAGTAAGCACTGTCAGTATCCCTCTGTTCTGGGGGTACTTGATCCTGGGAACCAAGCCTGGGCAGAGGAAGGAAGTGGAGAATAGTAAAGCAAAGTGACCGTGAATCAGAAACTTAGCTCTATCTCTTGGAATTTATCCAACTTCCTTCTAGGGTAGAGGCAGTTGAGGAACCTGGTTTGAGATATCACCAGGAAATACAGCATCACGCTCATCTCCATTCCCCAACCCCTACCCCACCCATCCACACAAACTCTGGCCAGTTGTCCCCTCCCACCAAGTATGATTCTATCAGGTTTGGACTTTTCACTGCAGAGGCAGTTTTAAATGGTTGGAGTCAGAGATTAGGAAACAAGCCTGGAGTCTAAGCCCTGCTTTTGACCCAGACTCACACTAAAAGGGAATAGCCCTTCCCCTTGGCAGCCTGCCTCCAGGGGCCCTGGGAAATGCACTGAAATGGGGAAGGGGAATTCCTAGGCGATGCCTATTTTAGACCTAAAACATCCTCTTCCCCAGGCCAAGGCCTCTGCCCCCTCCCTTTCACCTCCCCACAAAGGGGCACTCTATTCTTCAGCAAAAGGGTCCTGTTATCTAAGAGGCCGAGGGTTGGCCTCTACTTCTATCTCCATGGTTCTCCTCCATACTTTTCAGTATGTATGGCCTCTGCCTCAGTCATTCACACACAGCTTCCCTAGCATGGACTGTCCTGAGTAAACAAATAGGACAGATAAAGCCTACCCAGTGAGAATAGTTGAGACCCTTGAGCCAACTCTCCCTCTGCCCTCCTCTTAGAGCAAAGCAAATCCATAAAGCTGCTGGGGGCCTCAATAATCCCGTCTCAAAGGTTCCTGGGATGATCTTTACCCAGCCCCTGTGTTTGGCCTCCAAACCAAACGTCAGAGATGAAAGGCCACTGAAGCCAGGTTGCCCTGGGCCAGAGTCCAAACCTATAACCTCCATGCTAGCCTTCCCTCCTCCCCTTTCCTAAGGCTACTAGTTTAGTCCTACAATTGTTGCCTTGGGTTTTTCCCTTTTATGTTCCCCTTCTTTCCACTTGTCCTGACTGCTCCCTGAGTACTCGTTCCCAGAGGGCCCAGAGGAAAGGAAGTTAGAGTCTGTTTCAGGAACTCAGTATAGTCATACTTTAAAGCCATTATCGATAAGCTAACCAATCCCCTATGTTCCCCCACCAACCACCCCACATCACACACATGAATGTTGTTCTGGAAGCATATACTCAAAGTCGTCTGGCTATACCACTAACTAGCTGAATGAGAAATTTCCCCCAAAGAGACAAGCTGTCCTAGCAATCTGGCCCTCCTTCAGGGGACAAATAACCTAGCCAAAGGTAAGCAGGAATAGTCCACTCACTCTGAGCATCACTCTATTATCTCCTACCTAGCATAACTGATCCCTGAGACCAGGTTTAAAGAACAAACTAGACAAGAGGCGAGCGCAGCAGCTTCAGCCTAGGAAAGAGAGACATTAACTTTCTAGGCAGGACAATAGCAGAGTCCGGCCAAGGCAGTCGGTACAGATCAAAGGGAGAATGCTGCAGTCAGGATTCAGAGAAAAGCAAACAGCAGTGCCCCCTGCCTTGAGAATGACTGAGCAAGGAGCAAAGTGTACCAGCCACAATTCGGGTCACTGCCCAGGTAGGGAGGGGGAAAAGAGAAGAGAAAGCACCGTAGCTCAGCCAGAAGGCATGGCCCTCAAAAGCTGTGCTCATCGACTTAGGGATACTCCACTCTTCCCACAGTTGTCAAATGCAGCCTACTTCCCCAATTAATGTTAATACCACCAGAGTGAAAAAAAAGAAGAAACCTTTTCTCCAGGATTCTCCTATCAGTTTCCTTCAGAATGTTCTAATTAGTTCTTATCTCCTCAATCCACCTAGAATTTGTAATGGCCCTCCCCATTTCAGTGTGAACACTCAGTGTGCTTAATGGGTACTATGTTCCACCATCTCTAATCCTTCAAGGACTCTGGACCCAGCTTTACTGGAGAAAGGCTTTTAGGAAAATCAGACATTTACATCCTACAGAATCTCTTATCTCCCCTTCTAGTCCGCTATTCAAGTCCGCCTACTCCCCAAGGGTTTCAGCTCTACTATTCAGCAGCCACTCCTATCTGCATTGGTGTCCAGACTCATTTCTTACAGGGAGGACTTCCAAGGATCCCACCAAAAAGGCCTCTGCCTTTAGCAGAACTACTTTTTTTCTTTTGGCTAGGCAATAGGGTTAAGTGACTTGCCCAGGGTCACACAGCTAGTAAGTGTTATGTGTCTGAGGCCGGATTTGAACTCAGGTCCTCCTGAATCCAGGGCCGGTGTTCTATCCACTGCGCCACCTAGCTGCCCCCAGAACCACTTTTAACCACTACATTTAATCAGAAAATTCCCAAAGAGGTTTCTCTTCCTGGAAGTTCCCAAAGTTCTCACAGAGGGTGCCTTCAGAACACTGGGTAAGGTATGGCAAGGACAATAATGGTATGGAACCTGTTATATAATTTACCATAATCCTAGGGAGAGTAATATTTCAAGCAGGAGAGACAAAGAAAGAAAAAAGAAAGATATGGATGGAGTTCTCCAGCTGAGTCTCAGCCTTGAGCAGCTCCTCCCCAGCAATCTCTCCTCCTGCCCCAGCCTTGGCATAGCCCTCAAGGACCTAGCACAGACAGTCACAACATCCCACAGCCAACGTCCAAGGAAGAACCCCCATCATGTGACCTCCTCAAGGACAAGGGATGCCCTTCTCCACTTTTTTCTCCTATAGGGTTAGAAAATTCAATGAAAGCTGAGGGTGCAGACCTCTCTCGATTCCTTCCTAAAAGAGTTAGGAGTTTCCTGATTGAGGATAAAAGCAATTTCCACTATGGCACCTGTCTTTAATTACTCTGAGGAAAGAAAAGACAACTGATATTTCACATGGTTTTCTGTGGTTTCCTCAAACCACGCTCTAAAACAAGAGTAGAGAAAACAAGAAAAATGGTGAGAGGCATCATAGGACAGAACTGAATTTGGACTCAGAGGATAGATTCAAATTTAAACTCGAATCTTTATTATTATCTTTATGACCTTGGGCAAGTTTGTTCCTGTCTCTGGGCCTCAGTTTACTCACTCACAAAATGACGGGGTTGGACTCTAAGATACTTGACAATTCTAAATCCTATGATTTGGGGGGTCCACTATGACAAACTATCACCAAAGTGGGGATTGGGAGAGGACTTCTTACCCTTCTAGAGCACAAAGTAAATATCCTTGATGCTAAAAGCTTTATTAAAGGGAAGATCCATAGGTTCAACAGGAAAGGTAATCTAGGGGAACCCTAGGCCCATGCTAATCACATAAGTTACTAAGTGCAAGTTTAGGCAATAAATTTGAAGCAAAATCCCAGCCCCCAACACACACACACACAAAGTATGTCCAGACGCCCAAGAGAAAGCATCAAAAGTGTCCTCTCCCTCTCATAAGACTATTTGGGAATGTTCAGAACTATCCCCCAAAGAGAGGATCCCCAAATTTTTTAATTAAAAGGGAAAACCAAGAAAGAACATTTTCCACAGGAAAAGGATGACTGGGACAAATGTGTGGCCCTATCTCAGTGCTAATCAGGTCTAGCAATATTAACACATCCTGAATGCTGTGCTGACACAAAGATATTAATGTCCAATATGTCCTTTGACCCAATTATCTCCTCTACCGACACCCTAGGGTAAAGAGGGAACACAGGGTCTAGACACAGAATCTAGCTAAGGCCTGAGAAGGGAGTCACAACACAGGTAGATGTTACAGAAATGATGTTGGGTAGTCTGTGAAGATAACTGCCTACCTCAAACCATCACTACACGCTAGTCCAACCCTCACCCTATTCCTTGGTCCATTTTA